TATTGCTGAGTTGTGCAGCAAGCGCGTCGGCCATTGTGACGATAAGATGCTAAGGGGATGAGTTGGGAAACAAGTGCGGTGACCGATTTTCTTTGCGATCAAGGGTGTGTGTGAGATGGTGCGCGCGGAAGTTGGAAGAGGAATATTTTAGAAAAGGGTTGACGGAAATGTGAAGAGAGGAGAGGGATGCTCGTCAAAACCAATAAAGTCAGGTTTGTAGGGGACGGGGAGAGATCGGGTATTCTATGAAATGAAGCTTCTGTGTGGAACCAAGAAATATCTTTGGATGCCAAAGCTGAAGAGAGTTCACAAATAGGATAAAGAATGGTAGAAACCAGATTTGTTGGGAGGCAAAAGAAAAAGTAGAGGTTGAGATTATGATGGCGGGGAGCGAAGAGGTTTGAGGTAAAGTGAAGCTAAACGTTCCACTGGGCACGGTCACGTGCCACTATATATTTACTACCTATTTACCACAGGTATATGAAAATAACTTCAAACATGGCATAACATGGCATTTCTTAAGGGTATTTCGCTGCAAATAAGATCATCGATATTTGAAGAACCTTCAGCGCCGGAAGGTTAGTGTTGTTTGCCCACGCTCTGGCTCTGCCAACTCCTTCACTCTGACATCTGCAGAGATGGTGATATCGGTTTTGCTACCAGGTGTGATCAGAATGAACTGTCGCCCGATAGATCGTCTAGCGGCAACCATCTATAGAGAGTCAGTGATAATCCTTAGAAAGGAGGGATGTGGCACTTGCAAGCATGTCAATCGCCATCTTTCGGTTGATATGATCCATATACACATCACTTTCGAAAAGTCAGCAGCTAACATAAATCAAAGGACGAAGAAAACTTACAATTCATCAAGACAACGGATCGGAGATCCCATGGCTTCCCAGAGAGACAATAACAGACAAACTTGTGAAAATGACTTTTCTCCACCGGACAGTGTCTTTGCACCTCTCCCTGTGCTATCATCTTTGGTGATATCAGGTTCAACCTAGATAATAGTTAGCATCCAATTCCCCAAGGTTTGGGGCGAACAGGCTTACTTGTAGATCTAGAAGCTTGTTGGTATGGTCAGCCAGGAGGCGACCACGGAAACTTCTCTCGCTCAGAAGATAGGTGAATTGAGCTTTCGCTCGCGACGAGATGTGGGATCTGAAGATTTCCCATCTCTTCTTACGGTTCTGGAGGGTATCTTTTAAAGCCTAACAAAATTAGATCTGGCCAAAGAAATCGAAACAAAACAAAGGAAAATTACCTGACTCAAGGCCGAAAATTGTTCAAGTTGCTGCAAGGCTCGATCATAGGTTGCTGCAGTCCTGGTTGCCTCAGCAGCAATTTCCTCTCGAGAACTTCCCAACCTGTTGACTGTCAGTTTTGTACAAACGGCAAGCAAAGGATGACATACTCCAGGTTGTAGCGATCGAGATCGCGGCTTAGCTTATCAAGCTTTCTGTCGAGGCTGCCGGGTGTTTCTCCTTCGTCCACAGGAACTCTAGAAGAAACCAAGCTGGCCTTTTCATTGTATTCAATAACTCGTGTCTTCACCACTTCTCTTCTTGCCTCAATTGCAGTCTTGGTCTGTTTATCTTGATTAATGAGACTGACAGCTTCGTTCTTCTCGTCGAGAATTTGGGCTTGTTTCGTTTTCACAAGATTTTGCTCGCTTTCAGCAACGTGTAGCTTTTCCCGGAGGGTTCCAAGCTCAGCGTCTTTGGCGGATAGTTCCCGCCGTAATTCTTTAAGAGTCTGCAACATGGCTTTCATGGCTGCCTCGCTATCCTTGTACGATCCCTCATTGAGCTGTTTCTCATCCTCGGCTTCTTTCAAGGCTGCCTGTAGGGCATCGATGCGTCCATCTTCGGCATTCTCTTTGTCCAAGGCGTCTCTGAGTCCCTCGGCATGATCTTCCATTCGTTGCATTTGAATTTGCAGATCTTTCTCGGTTCTTCCGTGTCGGACTAGTGCCTGTTTGCAGGCCTCGACGAGCGACCGAGCAGTTATCAATGATTGCTTGATGTCATTCTGTTGGCGCTGGAGGTCGGCAATAATGTCACGTTGTGCGCTGGAGCCATCAGTTAGTGTCACGCGTTCCAAGGAAGAGGGATTACTTACTTGATTTGCAAGGCTACGTCGGATTTCATTCGCGGGCCATCAGTCCACCCCATAACTGGAGCCTGACTCGGTTCTCCGGCTCGGCTGTACGAGAGATGGAGTCCTCGACGTCGATCTTTTGGATCAATAGAGTAACAACGTTTAACGTTTCTTGGTCGTGCACCGTCGAATAGTACAGCGGAGGCTTCGTTTACATCCTCGATCAACAGCATTTGCTCAATTCCATGGTTGATGATCAGTTGTCGCCGCACTAGTTCGTTGTCGATCTGAAAGGTCAGCATATTCTATAAATCGTGGAAAGGATGAAGGGGGGTAGAGGGCTACCTGAAGTGTTCGTAAGACAGTTTTGTATTGGGAGTCTGGTTCGTGTGCCGAGGTATCCAAACGGCCACCAGAGCCTATGAAGATTGGACAATTGCTGTTAAGTCAGCTTTAGTTTCAACATGAGCCTCTGGTTAAACTCACCACTGAACCTGCCGCATGATATCGAAAAGAAGCTTCATGTCATTTTTGGACGAAACGATGAAACTGGCAAGCGTGCCACCAAAGACTCTTTCCAAAATAGATGACCACTTCGGTTCTAGCAGAGTGACATGATGACCAATTGGGCCGACAGGGCGTGCCTCCCATGATTGTTCCTGCTGAATGGCTTTGAGGAGTGCAGGCATTTTGATATTGAAACCGGACTGTCTCGATCCACCTTCTTTAGTGAGATCCCGAAGTTGATTCTCCGCTTGAACAATCTCGCGTTTTTTCTGTTCAAGCGGACCTTCTGCTTCTGTGAGAGCTGCTTGGGCGGTTTCAGCCTCTTCCCGTAGGCGAGCGGCACCTTGGCGATGCTCTTCGTATTCCTTTTGGGCAGCAGAAGCGTCATTGGCGGCTTGTTCACACTCGTCTTGTTTTCGAGTGTAGCCACCGTCGCTCACATCAGCGAGACGCTGATTCTCATCGTCGACTTTTTGCTGGGTTTCCTGGATTCTCGACTCAGCCGCTTTGAGATAATCCCTAATCTGGCGTTGTTCCGCCTATACAAAACGTTTAGGTAAGGTATCGTACAGTGACTGGAGGTACGTACCTGTAGGTCATGGCGTCCGGCCATCTCGGTGTCCAATCTTTCTTTTATTTTGTCCCTTTCATCTTGGGCCTCATTCACTGCCACGGCCGCGCGCCAGGAATGTTCACCCGCGGCTGTTTCCTCTGCGGCGACTCCATCAAAGGCAGCATCAAACCGAGTGAGGTGAGACTCGGCCTCAGCAATTTTTCGGTCTGCCTCGGCGATTTGTTCGGTGAGTGAGATTTCCATCTGTTTCGTCAGTCAATAGTCAAAAGCTGGTAGGGTGGGACCGACTTTTTCTTGCTCTTCAACTTGAGCCCAAGCCATTTGGCTTCGGATATTTCTGATCCGTTTTCGCAGAGAATCGTGTTGGTCAGAAATTTCGAGTTTTTTCTTGGCCAATTCCTTGCGATTTTGGAGGACCCGTACGTCTTGGGATGATGTTCTGAGCTTCTCTTCGATCGAGTCAAGAGATTCCTCCACCAGCCGGTAATCATTATCGAGCTGCTCCAACTGAACGCCCTTGACAAAGAATTTGTATTTCTCAGCTGGGCTTGATGTACTCAAGAACTGACGGGCCATATCTTGAGATAGTACGTTCATAGGGTTTTCTATCTGCAGAGAAAAGTAGTCTGTGATAGCATCCAGCTCGCCCTTTTTAGTCGAGACGATGCGCCCATTCTCTGACTTGATCTTGAACCCGCTGGTACCGCTTCGGGAGAAATGACGCTCGACAATAATGGTTTTCCCAAAATCGTCTGACATATAGGCACCGTCGCCCTGATTCTTGATGCGAACAATGATTGTGCTATTCTCTTTGCCCTCTTTGATAAAATTCTTCAGGCTTTGGCCACGATTTGTCGCAGACGCTTTGCCACCTAGACAAAGAGTGATCGCTGTCAGGATCGCACTCTTGCCGCTGCCGTTCTTTCCAACAATAAAGTTGATCAGCGGCCCCAATTCCACGTAGAAGTGATCATGGCACATGAAATTGTAGCACTCAACGCGTTCGAGGATTCCATGTTCGGCGGGCACGTTGGCTTCGTCGATCAGATGGGAGTATTTTTCTTGTATGATCTGGGTTTGGCGAAGCTCTAGCTCGTCCTCGTCGTCGAGAAGCGCATCGTCGTTGACGGCTAGAAGTGAATCCGAGGCGTTGTTAACACCGCGGGAAGAGGTTGGGGAACCTGAGTCCGCTGTACTCTCTGAATTTGTCCGCTGTCGTTTTTTCTGTGACCATTAGCTCTGCCTAAACTCATAGTTGCTGGAATCGTACCGAATAACTCATGGCTGGCTGGCTGGACCCATCGCTTTCCTCGGATTCCGTAGACATCTGCACGCGCTTGCGGGATGCCATTTGGAGGAATATTTATCAACCAAAGCCAGCGGCTAGCATAGCGAGCAGACTCGTCGGTCTTAGCTGATTGTCGCGGTTTTCGGCCAAGACCCCCACGAATTGATAGTCCCGAGGTCGCGTCGCGTCCGCGTCAAATAGACTTAGTAATCAAATGGGCACACCTGGGCACTCCCCGAGTGAAAGTGTAGCCTTCCACGTTGTTATGTTTTTTTGTCGAGTTCTAAGAAGAAGGTCACAGATGAAATTGAGATGGTCTTGCTGGGTAGAAACTGAGGTGGGGGGGGCAACGACAAGTGTTTCTTTGTTCAGTGACCACAAAGAGAATCCGACGCCAAAACTATACTATAGACGAGTATACGAGTACCTACTGCCTCAGGCAATTTGTGTTGATATATGTAGAGAGGGGGGATCTTAGATTTATTATTGGGTAGATTTGCTCCATCTACCGCTAGATTACACCTTCAACTAGAGGTAGGCGAGTTGATTGCGCATGTTCTCTAGGCCATCAAAATTAGCTCGTAGAGTAGTGGCAAGGACACTCGAACTCTTGATATTGCCATTGCTTGTCCATTCATCGCATGTCTGACGAAGCTGCTGATGCGCAGCTGCAAATGCACTCTGCAACTCAGAAGTCCGAGTACACGACCGGCCTAGATCATTCATGTAATGGGTAGGATCTTGTATACATAACCGTTGCGCAACAAGAATATTCCGCTTCGCCGCAGCGGTTCGTTTGGCGCTGATCAAAGAACGCTGACCGCGCTGGTGGGCGGGTTCGTCAGCGTCGGGAGCTACAGGCAACATGTCTGCGCTGAAAAGTGCGGGAGGATCTACGGCGACGCCGACAGACTGGAGGTCAACTTGAGTGCCATAGAACTGCAGAAGAGCAAGGAACTGGTCACCCAAGTTATTGGGCCCGGGAAACCGGCCATGGTTCATCTTCAGGAACGCCACGATGAGCATTGCTAGCCCATCCGGCCCAATGCTCGCCTGTGGCAAGCCAAAAAGGCCACGCGCCTCTAGCAATGTACGTGTTACTGCATAGAGAGGTCGCACGGCAGGATATTCGGCCTGATAATCTTGTAGATACTCCGTGATGGCAGGGATACCCTCACCACAGTAAAATTGTAGCAACAGTCCAGTCGGCCGGTGACGAGCGGATAGTGCAGGGTTCCGTTTGTCAAATAGTTTAACATGATCGTTAAAGGTATCGGTGTGCTGTAGAGCTCTTTGGACTTGACGCAGAAGGCGGATGTGGGCATCTCGGATCTGAGGCCGAGTGGGGCTCGGCCTTCGATCACGTTCTGGTGATCTAGGAAGGTCTTCATATGGTAATATAAAGTCAAGATCCGAGTGCGCCAGTACAAGACCCGTGCAGTGGGATCCAATGACTCTTGGGGCATGTGGGACCACTGTTTTGAGAAGTGAGGCTACCTCTGTCCTGAGCTTCTCTATGCGGTCTTGTTCCTGAGCTCTTGGGGCCAGGTATTGATCCAATGCTCGAATTTCTGCATCCAGGGTGATCTCGGCATTGGTGCGAGGCAGCTCCAAATTTCTCAACCATGGACTCTGTGCCGGACCTGTTCCTGCAGGTTGAATCGCATCTTCTCCATGTCGATCAATCAGTGATTGGCGAGACGATATATCCACATGACTTCTGCGTTTTTTCTGGCGGTTTTTAGACCCCGGATTAGGAGTATCAGATGGATATTCCGCATTGGGTAAGGGTAGAGCTAGTTCCGCGGGCGGTTGGTAGTCGGCGCGACTCTCAGGTGGGATCTCAGGTCGCCAGAGTCCCGCGGGATCTTCAATGGGGTAAATCTTGCGGATCAAACGAGACCGATTTGTGGACCGATGGGCCTCTAGGGTCTTTCGAAGACTATTGGCAAAGACATTGGGACTCTTGGCTACCGTAACGGAGTTGTGGAATGGACGAAATAGGTGAAAAGGGTGGGTGCGTAAAGGTAGACTCGAAAGCTGCATAACAGTATCGCGGTATTTGAAGAGAGCAAAAGATGACACCGGAGTGGATGTCACCATGCCGAGGATGCATGCAGCTTCCCAAGATTATTTGGTTCGATTTTATTTGAGAGTGGATTCCTCAGGCAGAAAATACCCATGTGACGTTGCATTTTTAACAAGTTTCAATTTTATATTCACACCATTTGATGATATAACTAGAATAGAATAGAATATATCTTATATCTATCTACATGGTATCTTTTATATGTAAATATATATATATATATATATATATAGATCACAAAAAAGTACATGAAAAGTCCGTACAATATAGAAAAAGAAAACCAATACATGACGTAGTACTGAGGAAATATCCACCAACCCCCCCCATACTTCTATCATAAAACAGTTTCTATAGCATTTACAATATCTGAAAGGGTTTGAACATCACCTAGGTGATCTAGCAGGTTTTCCGGTCATTTCCTTGATAACCTCGATAAGACTTCACTTCACCGCTTGCCCCTCCATCCTTATTCCAAGTTATCCCCCCGTTCCTGACATTGTTCTTGCTTTTACCCTCAGTTCTTGATTTGATTATCTTACCGTCCATGGCTTGCTTGCGATAGTCCATCTCCCATATCGACTCAGTTCTACCCCGAGGTATGTACCTTAATCATCTTCCCATTTCCAACCCCCCTCCCCCCACCGGGACATTGGTGCATGTGACAATTGCAGTCTAACGCTCGCAGTCTAATTGCAACACTCCGGACCTCATCCTTGATCTTCGTATAACCGGCTGCTTGGCTGCTCGTCATGTCCGAACCAGAAAGTCCAGCGCAGGTGCCCGATGACCAGCCAAATCCTGTCCTTGTTGGCCCTGGATTAAAGGCTCTCAAAAATGAAGCATATGCCGAAGCGACAAATGCGACACCTAGTGTGGAGAAGATGTCGAGCGAGGCTCCTTCATATTTTAATAGTCTTCCGGGGGCCAAGGCTGTAACCGCCGACCCGTCTGACACCAAGTCGCAGCCAGTGCAAACTACAGGGAGAGCATCATCCGGCATGGACCTGCTGCGCCGCTTAAGCTTGACCTCAGACTCTCCAGTGTCTACTGATATTGATCCACGCGCCCAACACCCAGGGCTTCGTTTGAGTGGCCGCCTCATTAGCGCCGCTTTCTGCATACCATACAAGCTCAACTTTCGATCGGGATCAGACTGGGTACGTGGATGATTCTGTTTATTTGGGAGATCGTGTTGACTGACTGGATAACAGACACTCAAGTCGCGCTCCGGTACTTCAGCGCTGTTCGATTCATTTGCATATCTTGCATCGGATGAGACTTCTTGGTCACACACCTTGGTAGGCTGGACAGGAGAAGTTGAGCCTGATGTGGACCTGAAATCACCCTTGCAGCAAATACATCCCAATTCTTCAGTCAACGCACCTCCGGCTCCCAGTAAACTTGTTACAAACCAACCATTGAACAAGGCTGCTGCGCCGGTTCCCGTGGATGGAACCAAGAAACCACCCGCAAATCCATTGGTGGAGGGAATTAGTGTCACCCAACAAGACCGACAACGACTAGACGAACAATTGAGCTCAGGTCGTCATGGCCGGGTCTTGCCTGTGTGGTTGTCGGATGCATCAGAAGAACCAGAAGAGACCATTCTGCTGAAAGATCAAGGGAGATGGCGCCGTTATGCCGAACGTGAGCTATACCCTTTACTCCACTACAAACAACATGGCCCGACAGATGGCCGATCTGAGACACGGTGGTGGGCCGACTACGTGCGCCTGAATCAGTTGTTTGCGGATCGTATCGTGCAGGAATATCAAGAAGGAGATGTGGTCTGGGTTCATGACTATCATTTGTTCCTTCTGCCCAGTCTGCTGCGGCAGCGCATCCCAAATATTTACGTGGGATTCTTCTTACACTCGCCTTTTCCCAGCAGCGAGTTTATCCGGTGTCTTGCGAAGCGCAAAGAGATCTTGGAGGGAGTCCTGGGCGCCAACATGATTGGATTCCAAACATTTTCCTACTCTCGACACTTTACCTCGTGCTGCACGCGTGTTTTAGGCTTTGAGTCCAATTCTGCCGGGGTTGATGCCTACGGGGCCCACGTTGCAGTAGATGTCTTCCCCATTGGCATTGACGCACGTTCAATTCAAAAAGCCGCCTTTGGGGCTCCGGATATTGAGAAGACCGTGTTAGGTATTCGCAAGCTCTATGCTGGAAAGAAAATCATTGTCGGTCGCGATCGGCTGGACAGTGTTCGCGGCGTCGCGCAGAAACTACAGGCATTCGAAATTTTCCTGGAGCGCTACCCGGAATGGCGTGATAAAGTTGTCCTCATCCAGGTGACAAGTCCGACTAGCGTGGAAGAAGAGAAGGAAGACCCAGACAACAAGATTGCTGCCCAAATATCCAATTTGGTTTCGACCATCAACGGGAGATTCGGCTCTTTGAGTTTCTCGCCCGTCCAGTACTATCCGCAATACTTGTCCCCGCGCGAGTATTTCGCTCTGTTGCGTGTAGCCGATGTTGGATTGATCACTACGGTGCGAGATGGCATGAATACAACAAGTCTAGAATATATTGTCTGCCAGCAGACCAACCACAGCCCTTTGATTCTTTCTGAATTCTCCGGTACGGCAGGCACCTTGCCCAGTGCCATACACATCAACCCGTGGGATACGGTTGGGGTGGCTGGAGCGATCAACCAAGCATTGAATATGCCAGCCGAGCAGCGAAAGGAGCAACACCTCAAGCTATACAAGCATGTGGTGACCAACACAGTCTCTATGTGGTCCAGGCAGTACCTCAATCGCCTATTGACCAACCTATCGTCCTTTGACCAATCGGTCGCTACACCTGCACTCGATCGCGCAAAACTAATGAAGCAGTACCGCAAGGCTCGCCGACGACTGTTCATGTTCGACTACGACGGTACGTTGACACCAATTGTCAAGGATCCTCAGGCGGCCATTCCTTCGGATCGGGTGCTCCGTACTCTAAAGAGCCTGTCAGCCGACCCACGAAATGCCGTCTGGATCATCAGTGGACGGGACCAGGCTTTCCTAGACGAGTGGATGGGCCATATCCCAGAACTCGGATTAAGTGCCGAGCACGGCTGTTTCATCCGAAAGCCCGGATCTGAGGATTGGGAGAATTTGGCTGAGAGTAGCAATATGGGATGGCAGAAGGAAGTGGTTGATGTGTTCCAACATTACACAGAGCGAACGCAGGGTTCATTCATTGAACGGAAACGGGTAGCATTGACTTGGCACTATCGTCGTGCAGATCCAGAGTACGGTGCATTCCAGGCTCGCGAGTGTCGAAAGGCTTTGGAGGACACTGTTGCTAAACGGTGGGACGTGGAAGTCATGGCCGGTAAAGCCAATCTCGAGGTCCGACCAACCTTTGTGAACAAAGGCTTTATCGCCACCCGATTGGTCAACGAATATGGCACGGCCCCAGGGAAGGCACCGGAGTTCATCCTATGTTTGGGTGATGACTTCACCGATGAAGGTAAAAGTTCTCACCTTTATTGCTGAAGCAAGTGGATTAACAAGCAATTAGATATGTTCCGAGCCCTCAAGAAGTTTGATCTACCACGCGACCACGTTTACTCAGTTACGGTGGGTGCCAGCTCCAAGCAGACCGATGCCAGCTGGCACTTATTGGAACCGGCCGATGTTATTGGATCAATTCAAATGCTTTTTAGTGCCAACCAAGATCACTGAGATTCGATGGCCTAAACCAAATGATTACCCACAGCCAATATACGCCAATGCTGCACGGGGAAATCTAGTGTTGGCATTTCAGATTCGGCATGCTGAACCTTTTTATCTGGTGAGAAGATGGTTCTATTGCTAGCCATTTATCTCATATTAAAGACTATCCAAGAATTACCTCCATGCTTGATTGTTTTAGGGGGGGGGGGATAATGTTCTGTGAAGATAAGGTACCTCCATGTTTTTGTATAGACTCACATGTACGTACATGTTAGAAGATATTGAATATCGTGAAATGTTATATGGGTACATAGTATACATATATGGATGTACTACGTACATATGACTATCCGAGACAGCCGATTTTGCGGGGACCCCGGGATTGCGCCATATCAAATGGTGGGGTCAAGTGTGTAGATGACATTGTATCTGTACGCTATATGCTTTATGTATATGTAGATATTAGAGGCTATTCAACCTAGAGAAAAGTCTTAAAAAGAGATGAGAAACTGAACATACAACCCTTTATATCCATCAGCCTTATACTCTACCGAAATTCTTCACAAAATCATATCGTATAGCAAACTATACAAACTATAAGACATATACATTTATATACAGATTTAATATATAAAAAGATATGCTCGGAAGTGGACCCATATGTCGTTGGAAGGGCGCGGTCATCTCTGCGAACAGGCGAGAGACGATCGGAAGGATCCCCGTTATAAAATAAAAAAAATCAATCCAACTTTTGACTTTAAAAAGGATTTTAATATGTCGGAGAGTACATTTACAAATATCAAGGGGGATATGTCAACTCCTAATATGGCCAGTCTCTCCAAACTCTCAATGACCGAACATGGCCAAGTCAACGAAAAGAACGAGATAGATCAAAGCCATACTCACTCGTCAGATGAAGAATCAGTTGGCTATGAACCTGACCTTTCCCGCTTGCCCACCAATACCAGTGTCTTGGAACGTACACTATCGGTGGTGCGCACTCGGGAATCTGGCAAAGATCTCGGCCCGCCTCCGGATGGTGGATTTCAGGCTTGGTCGCAGGTTGCCCTCGCACACTTTGTCATCTTCAACACATGGGGTTACATCAATAGTTTCGGTGTCTTCCAGACATACTACTCCCAGACACTAGGACATCCACCCTCGGATATCTCTTGGGTCGGGAGTATCCAGATCTTTTTGTTGTTTTTTATTGGCACTTTCTCCGGCAGAGCCACCGATGCTGGCTATTTCACATTTACCCTGGCCTGTGGTGCCATCCTGGAATGTTTTAGTATCTTCATGACTTCACTCTGCACAAAGTACTGGCAGCTATTCCTGGCACAGGGGGTTGGCCAGGGAATTGGGTGTGGACTCATGTTCTGCCCAACCTTGGCTTTGGTCTCGACTTATTTCGCCAAGAACCGTGGCATCGCCATTGGGATCGTTGCGTCGGGTTCTGCGACGGGAGGTCTGGTTTTCCCGGCCGTTATCATGAAGTTGTTGCCCCAGGTCGGATATGGGTGGACAATCCGGACGCTGGGCTTTATCTCGATAGCCACGCTGACTCCCTGTGTGCTGTTCCTCAAGCAGCGTCTTCCTCCGCGCAAGAGTGGTCCAATTGTCGAGTGGGCTGCCTTCACCGAGCTACCCTATGTGCTGTTTGCGATTGGCATGTTCATGAACTTCTGGGGCCTGTATGTTGGATTTTTCTACATTGGCAGTTTCAGTCGTAACATCATCGGCGTGTCAAGCGATCGATCCATCGCTTTACTCCTGGTCATGAATGGAGTCGGATTGGTGGGGCGGTTGGTCCCCAATCTACTTGCCGACCAATTCACCGGTCCTCTCAACCTATTGATCCCGTTCAGTTTCGCGACAGCCTTGGTTGGATACTGTTGGACGGCCGTCAATGGTATGCCCGGGCTCTGGACATTTGCCGCGTGTTATGGCCTCTTTGCTGCGGGTATTCAATCATTGTTCCCAGCAACCCTTAGCACCCTCACTACTGATATGAAGAAGATCGGTGTACGCATGGGCATGGTGCTCAGTGTGGTGGCAGTGGCGGCCCTTATAGGGTCTCCTATTGCTGGTGAGCTAGTTGTTCGTGATGATGGCAACTACCTGTATGCCCAAATGTTCATGGGATCTGCAATCTTCGTTGGTGGATTGACGTTGATTGGAGCTCGAGTGGCCAAGGTTGGAACTGGTCTAACTCGTGTTTGAAGGTAATATTATATGTAGATATATAAAAGGTACAATAATAATATATACCGTATAAAATGAAGTTATGGTTTGACGAGAAGAGGGTCCCCACAATATATGATTAATGCGAGCGCGGTGACTCGCGGTGGCCGACTTCTCTTTCCACTTTGTCTTTTATAACATTTACAAGTCTTGTTTGATTTTTACATTTCTTTACAAGTAAGTTCATTTTTTTGGATTCTATGGCGCATTCAGGAAATGTGAACCGCCACTGCCCCTCCATTGTGTGCGAAACCCCCGCAATTCAAAACCCGCTAACTCGGTCTCTCGATAGATATACAACCCTTTCAAAAGGTTCTCAATATTTCATACATATCAATATGGCACCCCGTGGTCGTGGAGGAAAGTTCTCCAAGCCCTCTCGAGGAGGTATGTGGTGTGCGCCTCTGTAGACGAGATTGAAGCTGATCGGATAAATAGGAGGCAAGCACTTCAGCAGAGATCTTCAACCATTAGACAAGGATGGTAACCAAATGGGTCTCTGGAGGGTAATGTGGAATTCAATTTTAACTCAATTTACACAGCACGCTGACCATGATATCTCTCACATAGGAGCCTGGTGAGCAAATTAAGTCATCCGACGAAGATTCTTCGTCCGAAGAAGAAAGCTCCGAGGAATCTAGCGAGGACGAGTCCAAACCCATTGAATCATCCACAGCTGAAGGAACCCGCGAGGAGCGTCGCGCAGCTGCTAAAGCCAAGAAGGCAGCCGCATTGAAGAAGCGAGCCCAAGGACCTGCCCAACCGGGGGATTTACCCCCTTCAGACTCGGAAGAATCCGACAACGAGCTCCCTGCCAACCCAAACCACACTGCCAAGTCCCGTTCGCAGACCCTGAAGGCCGTCGGAACCGAGCCCACTGCTGAGCCCAAGAAGCCCGCCAAGGTGAAGGATATCTCGCAGTTGTCCCGACGCGAGCGTGAGGCCGTCCAGGCCCAGCAAGCCCGTGAGCGTTACCAGAAGCTGCATGCCGAGGGTAAGACCGATGAGGCCAAGGCGGATCTCGCTCGTCTCGCCGTGATCCGTGAGCAGCGTGAGGCGGAGCGCCAGCGCAAGTTGGCCGAGAAGGAGGAGAAGGATGAGCAAGCCAAGGAGCGTGCTGATGCGGCCCGGGAGCGGGAGGATCGTATGCGTGCTGCTGCTTCGGGAAAGACTTCTAAGAAAGTTGGTGGAAAGAAAAAATAAGCTGGATTTCGTTTTACATGTGGTCATGACTTGGGTTGCATTGTTGTTTACACATCTAGACAACAACAAAAAAGAAACACACAGAGAACAGTTGAGATATTCCTCACATTGGAATCAATCAAACAGTAAAGAATATGCCTAATGTAAATCGAAATCATGTACACCGACGCCCCCATAGCATTAGATAAACACCTTATTTTTAGACTGGCTCTTCCGAGAATGCATGAGCTAGCCAGAAAGAAAAGGGGAAAAAAAAGAGATTTCAAGTTTCATACATGGGATTAAAATCCCAAGGAAAAGTCATAGCCAAGAAAAGAGGTCTATTTGTGGGGAGTTTGCTACTTCACACGCCCCAGAACAAACCCTCAACGCTGCGGCCTTGCATGACAATGCCCCAACCGGCAATCAGGCTGACCAGCCACATAATGGCGAATATGAGGATGGGAACAAGCAGGAGTTCCGTATTGTGCAAGAAGGGGAGAGCGTTGTACCCCAGGAATGTGATGTAGGTGTAATAAATGAGAGCAGAAAGGTAGAGCGAGTTTCCGAGGAAAGTAGCCAGGAAATTACTCGGACTACGAGTGAGGAGTGGCAGAAGGAGGAACTGCACCACGTAAAGGTGGAGATAAAGAGGAAAGAAGGCCCGATTGGACACCTATACAAGGCCAGTGTCAGAAGATCGGAAATTCCACACGATTTGTGGGGGTCTTACATCAAAACAATATCCAAACTCCAATTGTTCCTTCTCCCCTGGCTGCGTGAACAAGCCTTGAGCAGCACCTCGTCTTCGGCCACGGGATCCCCGCAGACCAGCGAGAGATGCAGCAGCTCCATTCGGACCAAATAGACGGCCAATGATAAAGTATCCAATTGTCGAGACGAGCAGTGACGAGCCGATGAAATGCACAAACACGAAGAGGAAGGCAAGGCGTATGATTGCGCCGAAGCCCGGCGTATAAGCGAGGCCCCATGCGAAGGCTGTGAGGAGGAGGAAGAATGATAGTAGGTAGGTGAATGATGGATCTGGCCGGTGCCATGTGTTTTTGGTTTCTGTTGAAAGGTGTCAATAGTGCTCAGCTAAGGTGATGGCAAATGGCTTTGCCAGGGTTGTATATGCTTGCTCAATCGAGGCATGAGCCGAGCTTGGAGCAAGTAGACTTACGTTTCTGGATCCGGGGGCATGGTCAGCGTAGTTCGAGGGCCCGGTTAGGGTAGTCAAGATCACTTACATGGTAGTATATCGATTTGAAGACTTTCTTGGGTGCAATCAATAACGAGGTCATCTCCCAAATGGCCATCTCAAAGTCCATTTGTGGAAATTTAAAGAGCCTGTTCCACATCAGTGATTGTATATTTTCGCGTCCAGGTTCTTTGGTCCTACCTCTTGAAGAAGCGCGGCATGCGGACGCTAGACCGGGTTGCGGGCGTTGAGCCGAAGTTGGCCGAGCCGGCATGTTGGCGGGGGACAGAAATGTGAGGGTTCATGATCTTAGACCCCGTTTTCGAGAGGGGATATATCAGTCTCGGAGCATACACAATGCGGTCCGGTTGTTGTACGTGTATCCAATGCTCGGAAGATGGGGCCCGGTTATGTCATCTTGGTCACGTGTTGAGTAACTATACCCCGATGTCATTTATTAATATATTATGAGCAATGTAATTAGTTTCCAAGAAATATGTACATTATACCTCTTGTCTGCTTGAATTTTGAAGCCCAGATAGATCCTTTTATATCTCACTTTTTTCAAAGTGTCATTCTTGGGAAATGTTTCCTCTCCAAAGAATCCACTCTGTAAGGGGCTAAAGGATAGCCAACATCCGTGGATAATATGGCTACAATATAAAGAGGGAGATACGATATATAGTAGGGAGTCTTATAAGTATATGATACATTTTAGCTACTGATACAATCTATGTAAATGCTTACGGAATATATAGTCTGCTTCTCTAATCACCACGGAAGTCATCCGATATAGTAGCTCCATCTCCCCACGGCTCCACTTGTGTACTTTGGTATATTGCATGTTGCATGTTGCAATATTGTATTGAAAGGCTTATAAGAAAAAACATTGAGACATTGAGACATTGAGACATTGATATATTGATAATGTATAATGTATACTTATTCCATAATATATAAGTAGAATATATAGAGTAATAAGTATTAAACACACTTAATATGAAACCCCTGAATGTGCTGGCAAAGTTGGGCAGATCCCCCCAAAAGTAATTTCCCCTGGACTGAATCTATTCAGTTTCATAATCTCCCTTCACATATATTCTTATATATTAAAAAAATATATATGTATCTTAGTCCCACAGTTCACCGGAGTTTAAAAGTTCCCGCCAAACCTCCGACCCTCAGGAGTTTCCCCCCGGTTTCTTCCAAGGTCTCTGCATTACTCGGCTTTGTTGTCAACATTTTACGTTCTTTTTTTTTTTTTTTTACATCCCTTGCTTCGCGGGACAATGACCAAGTGAATTAATTACCATTCAACCCGTCAAATCGGATACTGGTTGAGACTTGGTTATCTAGAGACTTGATATCTGGTACGTTGAAGACCTAGCACTGGCTCCAATTTCCCTGGATTTATTGTGATCCTGCCCTTTCCCTCGTGTGGATTGGTTTAGAAGACAATAATTAACTTCTATTAGCGCGATAATGTCCCAACGGGAAGCCTACTCACCTCCCCGTACACCTCCCTCCCAAACCGCGAGATACAAGCCCTCCAAGCGTGGATACCCAGCTCGACGATCCATCCGTGATGCCTTCCCAGACGTCATGGACAACCCCCCGAGAACCAGTGAGTCGGGAGACGATCGAGATCCGCATGATCTGTCTCTATCCCCGCAACATGCTACACGGACGTCAATCGTCGACAACATGCTTCTTTCGCTCGATCAATTTGCCCCCAGTTCGTCTGTTCTAGATGACTACCGTCTTTTCAATTCAGCCTTTGAAACCGACCATCACAGTCATTACTCACAAGAATCTGATTCGCACGGCCGGTACCGCGGACACACATTCTCTTCGTCAATGTCCTCGGAACCAGACTACGGATACGAAGATGGGAGTGGCCGCTACGCAACAATCACGGCGACCAAGGGCCGGTGCAGCAACAGCAGTTCTAATCACCAGACGACACCGAGGCAGGTGGGAAGCTCGCGCGGTGGAACTATGCCACGAACAAATACTGCCCGAAAAGACAGTAAAGGAAGCTCGTCCTCCACCGCGGACTACTCATACACAATTCCCAGAGTACGAATGGACCAAGGCTTGGACCGACGCTCAGCCAGCTTCGATTGTGGACCAAAACGAGCATTCGTACCTTATGCTGATTCCGGTGTCGGTCAGGACTCGACGCTGTACGACGATCACGATGCTGCACCCACCCCGAGTGTTCCGGCAGGACCGCGCAAGGCCCACGATTATAACAGGACACCAACAGCTGCTGCCGCGCGGACACCGGTGGCATCGCGACGGAACAGTATGAAATCTGCTCATGCCCCTCAGGTTCGAAAGGTTCGGCCCGAAAACATCGGCACGGGGACCCTCCGAGCTCGGGACAACGACTTCCACAATATGGAAGAGGCGGAGCTTGAGCCCCCTCCCGCCATCACAGCATCGTTGGATCCTCCTGCTCCTAGCCCGACCATCTCCTATAACAAGCCAGCTTTTCCTCCTCCAGAACCAACGGCAACTACCACAACCCCGACCAATGCTACCATCAACCATCCTGCTCCAAGCACAAAAGAACGCCCAGGTTTCTTCCGGC